GACGCAGGTGGATCTCTGTGAGTTCAAGCCCATCCAGTGCTACATGAGATTGATCCAGTCTTAAAGGAAAACAGAGCCACGTGGTGGTTAGTCATACCTTTAATCTTAGTACTTGGGAGTCAAAAGCTTTTAATCCCAGCACTAGGAAGGTAGAGACAGGAGATATATGGCTGGGCAGAGAGAGGAGCTCATGGCATTCAGTCTGAGGTTTCACAGAGACAGCATCCAGTCTGAGGATTCATAGGAACAGGATCACCTTTTGAGTTTGAGGATTTAGTAGAGGTAAGAGGTCTCTCCTGTGGCTAGCTCCTTTAATTCTCTGGCTTTTCAGCATTTATCCAGCTATCTGACTCCATGTTTTTAATTATTAAGACCAATTAGGAGATGTGCTACAGGTCTAATGAGTAGGAACAGAAGGACAGAGCAATGAACTTATGGGGATGTGATTGTTGCAGCAATGGAAAACACAGATTAAGCATTCTTCCACTCTCAGAATCAGATCATAAAATAAAGAATGCTTCTGAGAGAAATATTAAAAGGTATTACCAAAAGCAATCACATACTGTTTAGGTTGTACATAAGGTTATACATAAATAGGGTACAAAGGCTGGTACCAAGAAGGGTACCTTTATTTAAAATGGTTAACCAATACACTTGTGTGGGTAGAACAATGGTCTTTGATATCACAAAAATTATAGGCATTATAATAGCTGGTACAGGAGGAGCTAGATTCTCAACACATTAAAGAATCTACCAATTCTTGGAATTCTCATTATTTGTCATTAAAAAGAAATTTGGAAAATGGAGAATGTCAGCAGATTTAAGAGCAATAAATAAGGCATTTTAGCCAATGGGCTGTCTCTAGCCTGGAATTTCTTTGCATTGTTTCTTTACCTAAAGGATGATCTATTCTAGTGATTGATTTTTTTTAACTATACCTTTACAAGAAGAAAATAGAGAAAAATTTGCTTTCACAATGCCTATTTATGATAATTCCCAGCCTGTTCAAAGGTATCAATGGAAAATTCTTCCACAAAGGCCCCATGTTGGGCACTGACTATTGTGACTTTTTTTTTTTTTTTTTTTTTTTTTTTTTTTGCTTTATTAAAAAACAAAACTCTGCAGTTAAATATTAGGGAAATAAACCTGAGACGACATACATGGAATGACAGAGAAATGGTCATTCACTCTCTTCTCTTCCTCCCCAACTAGAAAAAGACTGCATATCTTTATGCCTCACCTTCCTCCTGTGTGTCCCCCCACCTTCCTCTTAGTTAGCCACAATACTTTATGGCTCCCTCTGGAAAGCTTAGTTGGACTCTACCCTACAAACCAAAGCCTGACTCTATTGGCAGTCTCAGAGCAGTAACATACAAACATCTCCCATAACAGTCCAGCACTAGATTTAAACTACTATTCTAAACTGATACTTTCAAAGATGTACTTTGCACTACTGAGATTACAAGGGTATATTTAAAATAGCAACTCTGATCCTAGTCATGGTGTTTTACAAAAGAATCTATTAGGAAAATAACCTGGGAATCTGCATTTTTGTGTGGTCTACAAAGCAACCTTATCCAACTTTACATGTGATTCTGAGACTTCAGGGAAATTCAGAGTGTTGGAAGATTAAGAAGAACAAACAACATAATCTGAATAGCTGCTATAATGGGACCAATTAGAGGGCAAAGTGCTTGCCATTAGCATTTATAAAATAAATAAAATATCTGGACACAGTGGTGCATACTTCTAATCTAAGACAGGAGGATAATGCTTAGACCCTGCTGACCAATCAGATTTGCTGATCTACCAAGATGCATTTCAGAGACTCTGTCTCAAAACACGAGCTGGACAGCAACTAAGGAAGGTATCTAAGGTTGAACTCTGGTTTCCATACTCAGATGTGTGTGCTTGCCATGAATATGTATGCACACACTAGCACACACAAAGTTATAACTATACTGAGGTATATATGACTGTATAGTAAATATGATATATGATATCAATACCAACACTTAATATATAACTTGAATCTCTATAAAAGAGAAAAGGAGAAACCACTGAAGACAGCTGGAGAAGAAGGGTAAAAAATAACTGTAACAATCTGTAACACTGTGTGACTTTAAGTCCCTTCATTCTTGCATCTGGATTTTAATGAGAACTCTAATGCCTTTAAATTATCTTTACCCTTTGGTTAAGAAAGCCGACTGGCTTTAAGGATTTATGCTATGACTTTTTAGCAGTTTGAACCCCTTTTTTTTTTTTTTTTTTTGGTTTATCCTATTTGGAGTTTGCTCTGCATCTTGAATTTATAGGCTTATGCTTTCACTATGTAATTACAAAAGGAAAACTGTACTTATAAAGCCAATGAGGAACATTAAGTACTTAGGAAGTAAGACTAAAGAAAGGAAATGTTGAAATACTACTAAAACGCTTCAACAATCTTGAACAACTACAAAGAACCCTGGTTCTAAGAAAGAACAAGTCAATATTCTAAACATACAATTCTAAGATGTAAGCTAATGTGACTTCAATAAACATACTAATAAAATTTATACATGTTGGACAAGATGATAGCAATATTTACATTAAAAATATGTAAATGATATCCCCTTCCTGTTGGGTTAGGGTCCAGTCAATTTCTTCAAGAGAATTTATGGAAGGGTAGAAAATACAAACCCTGTGGTTACTAAATTTTTCTATGCACACACATCTATAGTCCATTTATAAATTAGGCAAAGTAAGAGTTCAACAACCAAAAATCAACTTTACAAACACACTAGGAAGGATTGGAGAGATGGCTCAGTATGCAGAGGATCCAAAGTCAGTTCCCAGCACCCATGTTAGGCAGCTCACAACCACTTGTAACTCCTGCTTCAGGTGATTTGAGATCTTCTTCTTGCCTCCAAGGGCATCTGTACTTATGTGCACATGTATCTACACACACACACACACACACACACACACACACTAAATCTATGAGGTTATATAAATGTAACCTTCCTCTTAATATGAATTACTCAGACACCAGAAGCTAGGGAATACCAACCAATCCATTAACTAAGGATGCAGTTAGGTGACTAATGGGCAAGTAGTGCATACAACATAGTTACTGGGATAAAAGTGATTTATTTCCCAGGGTAGGCATGTATAATTTGAGTACAATATTCACAACTGATGTAATTAAAACTTATTAATTGTTCACTTTTGAAATTCTCCATTTAATACTCTCAGGCTATTATTAGTTACATGTAACTGAAAACTTAGAAAGTAAAAACATAGATAAGGAGATGTGCTTACACTAGACCAGCTAGGTATGTTAGAGAAAGGAGGGGGGGTAATGTAGCTTTAAGATCTCTAGAATATATTATAAGACCTATATAATAAGGCAGATAAACTAGTACAGAATACAAAGTAAGAATTGTATCTCTTGCTACAGATGAACCTATATTGGTAAAGAGGGCAGTTTAAATCCCTGGTTTAGAGGCAAGCTTTTAATAAATGTTTACAATAAAACTGCAGTGTTATTCAGGAAATGACAAAATTGGTTCGACATATTAAAAAGAGGTTAGGATCTGACATAAAGAAACAATTAAAAAAAACAGAAGAGAATGTAAGAATGTAAATGAATTTCTATTTAAACTTATTGTATAATATGGAATTTATGATTCAAAACTCATATCAATAAAGATTGATGCCTCTGAATAGAGTAAAGTAAAAATATTTGTAAGCCAAACAGAATCTCTGACAGCCTACTTGGAAATTGCCAAAATTAATACACTGAAAGGATATCTTTGTGCCATATGGCGTAGAGAAATTGCAAAGGTCACTAATGTATGTGTGACATGAATTAACTGAGAAACGATGTGCTCCTACTGGCCAGTACTGGAATAGCTTGAGTAACAAGAATAGTGATAACCCTGGATAATGACACCTAGGAAAGAATTTAAATATTAACTGTGCATACTGACATAACCCAAAAGTAATAAAAAGGGCAGAAAGAAAGCTTTTCAGTTAAGAAGAATACCAACTAATAAATAGAAAAAACAAAAACAAAAACTCACTACTGTGTATATATTATAGTAATGGTCTTATAAAATTTCCTGATGAGTTATAATGTTAATAGGTAGAAAGTACTCAGGAAAAGAAAATATTTACATAGCTATAAACATCTATATCCCAGTGTATTTTACTAACCTAAACTGAAAATTTAAAATAATAGTAACATGGGTTTGGAATATATCTCAGTACTACTGTAGGCACTTAGCATGCACAAAACCCTCAGTTTGACCCTTAATACAAACAAGTACATCTATACAGTGAAATAAGTCAGCATTTCCACCTTCAAAGAGTGATTCAAGAAATTTCACATTAAGACACATCAGAAAGATAGGGTGTCCTTGATATGCTGCACTGAGTAGATCCTATCACTCCCTCAACATCTTACTCAACACAGGTGACCACATTCTAATTATAAGAGCAAACCAATCTCAAAAGCATTCATGTTAAGCAGAGAGACAGCCTTGATATGGCAACTAACTGTAACAGCCAGTGTGGCATGTTTGACTGGGTTTCTAAAAAGAAACAGAGATTGGTGGCAAGGAGGATGGAATTTAAAGAAGGCTGCAAAATTACCGTGCCAGGATTTTTACAGGTTTTCATAATTGTCACAGTTATGTAAGATACTGACATCAGAGGAAGCTGAATAACATCTGTGCAAATATTCTTTACACTAAAGTGAACAGGGTTTTAGCAAATCCTAACAAAGCTCCGGAGAAAAGAGATACACTAGTGATGGCTCAATGTGCTGTCGTCATAGCAACATCTCACTGTTAAATGTATGAGATTATGCATCTACATAGGTATTACTATATCATATCTCAATAAAGCAAAAAACATCTATCTATAAATAAAATCTCTTTTTATAAATTTGTAGGGTTGGAAATGCAATACAAACAGAATGAAAAGGAGATACCTAATAGAGTTATAAGTGATCTTACCAGATTAATTAGTTGTGTGTGAACCACATCTTCTACCAAAACTGCTGTTTCATGGAGAGGTCTCCTAGCATCACCTAAAGAAAACCTGCAGGAAAAAATTAAGATGCCATTATTGAGGCTGCAAACCATGTAAAGCAAACATATATATATATATACATACATACATATATATGTATATATATGTCTCATTCATTGTACGAATCAGCTATATAAAGAGGCTATTGTTCTCTACAACAATCCAACAATGCATTGTTATTTCTAAATGAAGGAAATAAATGTCTTTCTTATAAATTGTATCTTCCAGAGAAAGTATATTATTATTTGCATCCCTTCTTGGTTTAGAAAGTATTTGTGACAGGAATTTGCTCTGTCAAAATGCCAAAGTACAAAATCAGAACACAATATACACAGCAGGCAGCTTACAATCACACATTACTCCAGCTCCTGGGGATTCAATACCTGGAGGCTCTGATGGTGCCTGCATTGTGGGTTACTACCCACAAACAGACAAACACACATAAAATTAATGAAAAAAAAAATTTGAAAAGGAAAAAATACCAGCAACCATGTCACAATATAAGCATCAACTTACCTAACCAGTTTCCACTGTCAATATAAGAGCAAAACTTAATATAACATATGTGATCCAATAGCACTGAAAATTACTTGAATATGAAAATTTTAACACTCATGATCTCTGCCTACATAAGGCAAAAATAAAGACTTGTTTACATTTTTTGTTTACAGCATCTGTATACTAGATATGCAAAGACTCTTTCTCTCTTAAAGAGCACCTGAAACAAAAATTGGGACCCAAGGATGCTATCAGGAAAAAAGTAAAGACTCAGCTCCAAGTCAGAGGAAGAAAAGCAGCCAAATGGTGTGGCCACAAAAGACCTGAGCCCAGATAAAACTTCTGTAGTTCCCACAGCCCATTATACAATAGATGGGACATTCAGGTATGATAACAGAGAAACATTATGGAAGTCAGGTGACCTGCTTTTGTCCCCACTGGCACTCTGGAATACTGAAACCAAACTAACTTCGGGTCCAAGGTTCCTCAAACCTGAGAAGACTGAAAGATGCCTTTTCAATTTTAGATTTTAATCCTTAAGTCCTGAAATGACACTTGTACTATAACTATAGTGAGGCAAAATCACGTGGAAAAAAATTGAAATCCTACATAATAAATTAAGCAATAATCATGAAATAAATAAAATAGAAAACATTAACAAGAAATAGGTAACACAAACTGAAACACAAGAACACAAACAATCTTGGGGTGGAGGAGAGCTTTAATTCATTTCTGATATTATATGTGGAAGTCATTTCCAAAAATCAACACCTCCCTTAAAAATTTTACTCTTGAAGCCTGGACATAACTGCTTTAGGGTTTATATTGTTCTTTTTAGCACACTTAGCAGGTCACTCAACTAATTCCAGGGATTGCTCCCAAATAGAATAATAGTAAATGAATGGGCTACAGATCTAGCACACAGCCCTGCCCACTAATCTGGCACTGGGCAGAACACGCAAAACACAAGCATCAGGTCATGTGATTTCCTCTACCTCAGCATCTTCTGACAGACCTTGAGACTGAATACCCACTGTCCAAGCGGAAGATGGAGGAGGTTGTTCATGGTCAGTCATTTAGGGCAGTTAGAATCAGAAACATAGGCCAATTAACCTTCCTCTTCCACTGTGATGTTTCCAAGCTCCACAATCTTTATCTTATGTCTTCTGAGACATGTACTTGATTAACAAAATATTTTTGAAGGCCAATGTGGTTAAAAGGTTAAAAAGGACAAAAATGTGGTGAAGTATTGTTTATGATCTAATAAAGTCATTGAAGATCAGAATGCAAAGTTAGCCACAGCCACACAGGCTGCTGGGTGATGGTGGTGGACACCTTTAATCCCAGCACTCAGGAGTCAGAGGCAGGAGGCTCTCCATCAGTTAGAGGCCAGCCTGGTCTACAGATCAACTTCCAGCACAGCCAGAGCTGTTACACAGAGAAACCCTGTCTCGAAAAACCAAAACCAAACTAAACGAAACCAAACCAAACCAAGCCAAATCGAAAAACAAACAAAATATCCAATATATTTCTCAATTAAATGAATCTGGAAATACCACAGTATTATTGTCTATAACTAAAATGTGCTCTACCCTATTATGAGCTCTGAGACATTCTCCAAGAAAGGAATGTGATCACTAACACACTCATGTGCATGGTTATCTTTCTAAGCTACGTTAATTATACAACATTGAACATCAGTTCAGGAACCCTGACTGGAGGGAAAGACTCCAAATGACTTAAGACCTTTGGCAAAAGGATTCCAAATAAGCTGCAGCCTAAGAGGCTAGAACTTCAAAGCCAAGTCCTTCGGGTATAAACAATGGGACGATGATGGTAACACGAGCAAACAAAGGAGCTTTTAAAGAATTCTTTTACACATTCAACAAATATTTCTTGTGTGTCTAGATCTTGTCATGCAATTGTTTTCTCACATTAGCTGAGAACCCTACAAACTGGGGAACTGACTTTTCTGACTCATAAACTAAGGACAGACTTTTCAGTAGCCATGGCATTAAGTAGCCACCACTCAAAGTCAACCAGGAAGGGTTCCTTTCAATAGACGCATCTCTGCATAATGAACAGTGTGTTTTCTCATAGACTCTTCTATAGAGGATGTCACCCTCCAGAATGCCATGCTTTCCACAACAGGAAACCCAGCATCTTCACCTCCAACAAACTTCCTACAAATATGCTCCTGGGGAAAAGCAATGGTTTGGTTTCCTGTGCTGGATGATCTCAGTATTTCTTGACAGTGTTTGAGAAGCCTGCTCTCATGAACCTAATCAGCTTCATCTCCTTACATTTTTATCCTGAGCTAGTTTTAACCAACAGATAAATTTAAAGACAAGCACAATGGCCACTTGCACATATCCTATGAGAAACATCTTCACAGTAACTTAGTGCCTATGCCTCTTTCTCTCCCAAACTCAACATTTATATATACACACCTTTCTCAATACCTACTTCCTTTAAGCTACAAATATGCACTGAGGGATTTGCATGTGCCTGGCATTATTATGTGTGCTGTGTCATGTAAACCTACTACCCTCTAAGCTGACGTTACTGTGTCCATCCTCTACCTCTTGGGGAGATGCTCTCTACTTCAGTAGAGTCCTGGATTTCACCAATTTCCAAACATCAAGCTTAGATGAAAATATAAAATCCTACTTTCAAAACTTTGAAAAAGCATTGTTTTCAAAAGTTCTCTTTTGTTTGCTAAAGAGTATCTTCAAAATCCTGCTTGAGATATTATTTACATAGCCTGCAAAGTTGATTGCTGAAAGTACACAATTTTATGATTTCTAAATAAACTGACAGAGTAGTACACCCATCTATACAATCCAGTCTTAGGATTTCTCTCTTGTACCCAAAAACTTTACGTCCTTGACAATAACCCTCTATTCCTATCCCGAGCCCAGGGCAATCTACAAAAAGACCTAATTGACATCACCAGACCTCATGTTTCCCTTCAAGGTCCAACATTCTTCAGTACTTAGCATGTAGGTCTGTTGTTTAGCCATTTCCTCAGAATTGAAACAGGCTTTCCTGGAGGGAGAAGAGAGGAGGCTGTACTTGAGAGATAGGGAGTGTCATAAGGCCATATAAGCAGGACAGCTTGAGTCTCTACTGGGAGAACTGCCTGTATGCTGTGCAGAGCCCCAGAAGGTGGCTTTCTTAAAGAACCACCGACACACCTGCCTTGCAGTCATCCATGCTTTCATAAGTACCCTCAAAAAACACTCAGGTTCAGCAACCCAGACTTGCTGAATTATTTCAGCACCCTTTAGAGAGTAAACAGACATTTATTTGTATCTCCCCAGGAAAAGTCACATGACAAGGTCTTGGTGTAAATGCTACAGCCTTGGGGAGCCTTTTCGACAGATCATCACTGTCGATTCTCAGTTTATTCATGGTAGTTTAGAATTTGTTTGGTTATAAATTAAGGCTTAAATTTTGATTTGAATGCAAAAGTTACTCAGATTTAAATAAATAAATAAATAAATAAATAAATAAATAAATAAATAAATACAACAGAAACAAAACAGCCCTCTACTGTATATGGTGAACACGTCATATATTCACAATGGACCCACAGTCAACACTTCTGTGGACTGTGAAGAGGTGAACTAGCTTAAGGCTGAATTTGAGCCAGTTCTCCATCTTGTCTGTACAATATGATACAGGGCAATCTGCTGAAATTTCTACTCCATAACATGGCATTACCCCACATAAAGACACATTATCTCTGAACTGTGAATTCATCCAAATCCCTAATGATTAGAAACCTAGAATTTTCTTGAGATTAGTAAATTTAAAGTGTTTACCAGGTGTGGTGGCACAGGCTTTTAATCTCGGCACTCTGGAGGCACAGACAGGACAATCTCTGAGTTCAGATACAGACTGGTCTACATAATAAGACCCTGTCTCAAAACTGACACACAAAAAGACTAAAAAAGGATCATCTTTACCACAGTGTTTCCTGACAAAATCCTCCCCTCAATATTTTTTAAAGTGAAAAAGTATGCCAAAAATCCTAGGGTAATTATACTTCTTATAAATAGCATTCTAAAAACTACCCGATAATAACTTAAATCACTATTTAATTAATAAAACTTCCCTGCATAGATTTTTCTCCTGATAATTATATTCACAAAAGCTCAAGTATTCATCCTGCACATTACAAGTGTGTGTAAATGAAGACATAAATGAGGAAAACACTGTAGTCATTGTTGAGTCACTACAGAAATTTGAAAATTAATTGTACAAATATCTGTGACTGCCAAAAGGAAAATACATAATATATTCCAGTTGTACTACATAATACATTCCATTTGCTTATTCAGAAAAGGATTCAATTTAAATCATGAAGCATACAAGACAACTGTCTTTATAGAATATGTAAACTAGACAGTGATCAGTCACTTTTGTTCAGAGAAAATAAAGAAAACATTTATCTCCAGTCTCAACAATATTTCTCAAATCAAAATGGAATTTAGTATACCCAGAAA